TTTGAATGATTTATGAAGGGATTTATATGGTGGCACCAACTATTAGTAAAAGTATGATAATTCAAGATTTAATTCAAACAGAACTCTTCCTAGAAGGTGGTTGTGTAGATTAAATCTTTTAATACTTTATTAATATTTTTGTAAATGTAATTATAATATCAAATAAATATTAATAAAGATTGCTATTCGCCTTAATTTGTTTTTTAAAATTGTTGTATTAAATTTAATTTTTAATATTGTCAATTTTTAATTTTATAACTTTAAAGTTTAAATTTAAAAATTTCAAACTTTAAGAGTTTAAAATTTAAATTTTATAACTTCTAAAATTTGAATTTAAAATTTTCAAACTTTAAAGTTTGAATTTAAAAATTTCAAACTTTAAAAATTTGAATTTAAAATTTCAAACTTTAAAAGTTTGAATTTTAAAATTTCACAACTTTAGAAGTTTGAATTTTAAAATTTCAAACTTTGGAAGTTTGAATTTAAAAATTTAAAGTTTGAAACTTTAAAAGTTTGAAAGTTTAAATTTGAAACTTTTAAAGTTTGAAAATTTTAAAGTTATAAAATTTAAATTTTAAACTCTTGAAGTTACGAATTTTTTTTTTTAACTTTTAAAGTTTGAAATTTAAAATTTTAATTTTTAATTATTATAATAAAAATTATATTTAATTAAAAAAATTAAATCTTTAAGTTTTAATTAATTTATTTTTTTAATTACCGTCCGTCCCGGTTACGGGTCTGGTCCGATATACAACCGGTTCTCTTTCGGACCGGGACCGAATAGTATAATTTTTACCGGTTTCCCGGTCCGGTCCGATCCCGATTTAGAAACGCTACTGGTTCGCACAATACCGGTTCCATCCCGGTTCAAGTAATTACCGGACCGATTCACCCGATTTCGATACCACTGCCACGCTTACTTCAGATTATGAATGTGGTTATCTAGTTTAAAGGTGATATTCATATTGTTTTAAAGTAGTTCAAGGGACAATAAAACCCCATAAAATATAAGTATATAGTTAAGCATCAAATAATAGATTTTGCAATGATTTGGCTATTTTTTCTTGAAATGTATAGAGCAATAATCAATCCACTGGGTAAAGTTTTACCATTATGTGCAGAAATTCAAAAATTGTAAGTGTAAAATATGCATATAGTGATAGAGCTGAAAGTAAATATTTTATGATTGTATTTTTTTATTTAAAAAAAATAAGTTTTGAACTTTACCTTCATTGTTTTGATATAATCACTTTGTGAAAGTATTTGATTTCCTCCATTAAGTGATTTTACGGTGATTCTTATATGTAATACTCTAATTTATATATATCTTTATCTATAAAAAATTATTTACCGTGTAATACAATTTTTTCTATGTAGGCAAAGTTAGAGAAATTTGCATAAATGAGTATAGTTTATGGATTAATAAAGTGAGAAAAGATATAAAGTGATACTTGAAGTTGTCCTGAATTTTCAAAAAAATATCTTAACTATGCAGATATTCCATTATCCCCCTAAACTATTCCGAACATATGTTATTACATCATTTTCGGATCAATTTCAGATTTTAAATGGCAGTGTAATCACACACCAATAATTGTGTAACACGTGTTAATTCAATTTGAAATATTATTTTTTTTTGATTTGAAGTTTTTCTTTATTTCTTTCTCTTCCTTTTTGATTTATTTTAGTTTTATTATTTTTATTTTAATTTCATTTCAATTCATTTTCTACCCCAACTTTCAAACTCCCTCCATTTTCTTTGTTTCTTTCTTCTTCTTCACCTCTCATCCTCACCTAACCCTACACTCATCAAGTTGAACCCCTTCATTTTCTTTGTCTTTTCTTCTTCTTATTTTGTCAAATTTCTTACTTTCCAAAATTATTCTATTTTCTAGATTTTGTTGAGTTATTGACAACAAAACTAATTATTTTTCTAAAAAAAATCAAAAATTTGAAGGTATCATCATTTAATTTATCTCGTTTTCATATAAATTCAAAACTAGAAATGATAATTTTGAAAGCATAAGAATTCTCCGAAAATAGAAAAAGTTTAATTAGATTTTGAATAAAGAACTAGATAATGTCTACTAATCATCTTGAAATCTAATGGGTTTATCACATTGTTCGAAATGTATTAAAATATCTAGATATAATTTTAAAATTGAATAGAGTTGAACTAATATTACAATAAAAGAGAGATGTAGTTGTGGTAAAGAGTGACATTGAAAGTGATAAGTTAATGAAGATGACAATGAATTTTTGAATAAGAAGTAAGAAAGAAAAAGAAAAAAATAATAAGGAGAAAAAGTTAAAATAATTAGAAAAATAAAAATATATATTTTATAGTAAAATTCTTGTAAAATAAAATTATATTCGTTTTTTTAATTTGTTCACGCTATTTAAGAGAGTGCATACACTATCCATGCCAGGTGGACAAAAAATGATGTAATAATATTAGTTCAGGATTGTTTAGGGGGGTAATAAGACACTTGCATAGTTTAGGTGTCTTATTGAAAATTCGGGACAACTTCAGGTGTCAATTTATGTCTTTTCTCTAATCGTCCAGTAACTACAATTAAGAATTAAGATAGAAAAAATGCATAAGCACCCTTCAATATATATCCGAAATTTTAGAGACATATTTACTAAGGTTTTATTACCCATGAACATATTTTCTAAGTAATTTTCTACCCCTTTTCGACCTATGTGGCACTAGCTTGAAAAAATGTCAACATGCGCTAAGTCCAGAAGATAATTCAATTGAATTGACAATAACTTTCTTATTAATGTTCATGTACTACTTTGTGTCTATCGAGATACATATATCCTCAAAAATCACAAAAATTGAACCAAACCGATAATAACCAAATCACTGATTCTTTTCTTTTGATTTTAGAAACTTAAAAAACCAATTACATAGATTTAATTTTAATTTCAACAAATAACCAATTCAAATCGAATTAAAAATCCCATAAACACATTATCTATGTAAATTAACCAGCTATGAAATCAATCAGCGTTTACCAAAATTTAAGATGGAAACAAAACCAAGGTGAGTCAATTTCTCCAAATGGTCATCCAAGTTAAGGGAATTGCCTTAAAATATCATTTCTGTTTCATTTAGGATCAAATATCACTTAATTATCACTATTTTCCTCCAAATATACTTGACAATTCAAAAACATCACTCTCTCTTAATTGACATGACATGTCATTAAAGTATTTTTTAATATAGACTAATTTAATTCTTAAACTCATTTAACTAAAATAATGATCATATTGTTTTAATTTTTTAATTATTTTATCAAGAATACATTTTCATACTTAAAATCTTTTATCATAATTAAACTTTTTATTTTTTTATGTTAGGCAGAATGCGTTTTTAAAACGAACTATAATCTCATCAATTTTAAATACTTATAAGCACATACATTCAAAAAATATTGATTTACAAATCAATCGTGAATGCTAATTTTACTTAAATTAATCATAAATTGTATAATAAATCAATAATATTAAAGGTCGATTAATTATTAAAAAAATAATTATTTCGGTGTTTTGAAATCCATATATACTTACAATATCTTTTTTAAAAGAAAATAGTAAGTGAATAATATTTATAGAAAATAAAATTTTTATCTTTATTTATCAGTATATTTATCTCATATAATATGTATACTATGAATTAAATAAGTAAATTCAATTAATTATTAGTTTATTTATTGATGTGTATGAAAAGTTATAATATAAGTAATATAAAATAAAAGAATAAAATTAAAAAATAAGTTAAATAATAATTTTTTCTTTCATATCAATATTTTTGTCAACCTTACAAATTTATCTAAATACTTTGATTTAAAAAAATGTTTAAAATTTTCAAATAATTTAGTTAGGAATTTTAAAATTATCAGGTAATAAGTGCACACAAAGATTTTTTTATTGAATTTTGTTTGGTGACAATATATAAAGTTACTAGACTTTTTAAATTACTTATCTTATAATCTTCATAAATTCTCATGTAAATTTATATATTTATTTAAAGACATGAGTTTGATGAATTAAATAGGTCTAGTATTTTTTTTAAATGATTATTAATGACAGGGCATATCAACTAGAATTTAAAGAGACTTTTGAGGTATGGATAAAAAATATAATATTATTCACTTTCTTCTTCTTCTTTTTTTCGAAAAAAAAATCGGAAGCATGAATTACAAATATACAATTAATAATATTGTATTAACCTTTAATAATATTGATTTATTATGCAACTTATGATTAATTGATGTAAATTAGCGTTAATGAGTGATTTATATATCAATTTTTTTGAATGTATGTGTTTATAAGTATTCAAAATTGATAAAATTATTGTACATTTTAAAAATGTATTCTCCATAAAATAAAAAAACAAAAAGCTAAATTATGATAAAAGATTTTAAGTATGAAAATTTATTATTAATAGATTAAAAATAAATAAAAAATAATATGAACATTATTTTAGTTAAATAGGTTCAATGAATTAAATTAGTCGATTATTAAAAAAAAAGACTTTAATGACATGTAATGCCAACTAGGAGAGATGATTTTAAAGTGTCAAGTATATTTGGAGGAAAATAGTGATAGTTGAGTGATATTTTGATCCTAAATGAAACATAAATGATATTTCAAAGCAATTCTCTTAACTTGAGTGACTATTTAGGGAATTGATTCCAAACATGGCCCAATCCATATGGGCCTACCATCTGTAGCCATGCCCTAAAAGGAAGGTGGCGAAAATGATAATCCACATGGCAAGAATCCATTTGTTAATAAAGTAGCACGCGGATTGGTATCCTAGCAAACATTTACATTTGAGATCTCGACCCTTAACAACAAATTTTCTTAATCCAACGACTGTTATTTACTTCCAATTTCACACCCAAAAATTTCAAACTCCCTTGCAAATTTCTTATGATTCCTGCCTACTTCACCCCTATATAATATCTCTCGAATTCACCATTCTTCACAATCAAAGCATTTCTCAATCTATCAATAAGCCTTTCACTTTAGCATAAAATTGAAATGGCTCGTACCAAGCAAACTGCCCGCAAATCTACTGGTGGAAAGGCTCCAAGGAAGCAACTGGTCCCCAAGTCTGTTTTCAAGTCAGTTCTAACAAGTGGAAGAGTGAAGAAGCCTCACCGTTTTATGCCAGGAACTGTGGCTCTAAGAGAAATCAGGAAGTACCAGAAATCTACTGAGTTGATGATCAGGAAGTTGCCATTCCAGAGGCTGGTTAGGCAAACTGCTCTGGATTTCAAGAGAGATCTGAGGTTCCAGAGCAGTGCTATGACTATTCTATAAGAGGCTGCTGAGGCTTACCTCGTTGGGCTCTTTGAAGATACCAATCTTTGTGCAATTCACGCAAAGAGGGTTACCATCATGCCCAAGGATATTCAGCTTGCTAGAAGGATTCGCGGAGAAAGGGCTTAGAAATCTTTTTTTATGTTTATGATTAATTTGTGTTTTGTATTGGGGTCTTGTTTACTTCTTCTGTTAAATGCTAGTGTCAATCAAATTATGTAAACCTCTGGTTTAGTTCTATTCTGAGATCTGGTTAATGAAATTTATAGTTCATTTTATTTCAATTGAAGATGCTACCCATACTATAATTCAGAGTATATTTTGAGTTAATATTCTTTATTGATTTTGTCTTTTGGTTGAGTAGAGTGCAGGGCTTTCATTAATAGCCCTATTTTGCACAAATTTTCATTCGTTAACACTTTGATTAATTGTTGCATTGTATGCTGCAATTGAAGAAAGAAATATAAGCCTTTAGATTTCATTTTTTATAACAAAGGGACAACTGGCGCTGACACTTTTGGTAATACATTGTATAGCAAGTATATTAAAAATGGTTTTTCATGTATGGAACCTTGATACTCTGTAGGACCTAATGGTTAACAGTTAGAGGTATTTTTAATTCAACAACGACTAAACAGTAACATTTATTGTAGAAACTTTGCATCTCTTTTATGCATTGTTGGAATTTAGTTTGTTTTGTTAATCAAATTTGGTTGTTTATAGATACAATTAGTGGTAGGGACTGGGTGAGCGTTGATTTTTCTTCCTAAAGCTACCATAGGTTGAAGCGGTAGCTGTTTTGAAGTAATTTAAGTTTGATTTTAACTTCTTGAAACATGGTGCTGCAACTGTTGTATACAAACTGAGACTGAGCTATTTTTTTCAGATTTCATCTCCAGCTAACACAGGGCTGCCCCAAATTTAGACCACAAAGTAGTAAGGTGCTCAACTCATTTAAACTTTTGTGGTATTGACTATTATATATTCGTTTATGATGATCAAATTGAAGAGCTTGAATTTTTTTGGGCAAATGTACTGTGATGTTAGGTGTTGGTGTAAATATCATCATCTTGAAAAAATGATCATATGTAAAGATTAAACCTAGAGTTGTTTAAACTCTTAAGTCATTAAATCTTTAATATATTACTTTACTTCAAAGTTTCCACGAATTTGTTTTTATATAACGGGAAGGCTGCCTAATACTTCTGTTTTCTTAAATACTTTGTCTTTCCCCCAACCAATCCCCCCTTGCAAATTTAAAGAGTCAACTGTTCTTAGTGACATTACATTTAATTATTTAAAGGTGTTCAGCCATGAATACAGGTATTAGGAGAACAACTGAAGCATTCTAATTCTTTGCAAATCTGAAAACAAACCAAACTATAAGAAAATGAGGCTCGGGTGCTCTGCAGCTCCTAAGAATATCTACTCTTAATACAACATTGACAGTAAATATCCTTGCTATGTTGAATGAGAAGTGTCCACGCTCTGCTGCATGTACTTATATCTCATAAGGTAATTTTAGTTTTGTTGTCAGGCAAAATAAGCCTTGTTTATTATTTCTCTCACTTCGGCGGGTGACTATTATTCATATATGTCGACCATCTGGCTAATGATTATGTTAGCTAAAAATAGGTAACTTGAGAACTTCAAGTCACCAGTGTCAAATTCCGGTGGCAACGGTGGGACTGATTTGTGTTATCTTTCGTTCTAAAGGTGTTGCGCAAAGACAACACTGTCACAAGGCTCGGGAGACTCAGGACACTAAAACCCGACCTGACCCACCGGAAAGTGGCCCACCGTCGCATGCTGATCGCAGGCAGGAATTTTCCGGTAAGATCTGTACACGCGCCGGCGTGTGAGGGGTTTTTTGGGTTTTTTCTCTCGATATTTTTCTTCTGTTGAGGTCGTCCAATACTTACGACCAGAACCCGACCATTTTTCTTTAGATTCAATCATCACTATTAGGGTTCCAGTGATTTTTGAGCCGTTTTTGGCAAGATTTTGGCAAAATTAGAATTTTCAGGCTATTGTGGCAGATTCCGACGACATAATACATCTTTCTGTTGATATTGGTTATGATTGGTGGAAACATTAGTGCTGCTTATGAGGAGGTTCAGAGTACCGAGGGAAGTTGACACGTTACGTGGCGATAACTTGTATCATGGCAACAATGGGAGGGTTGATCTTTGGTTACGACATTGGAATTTCAGGGAGAGTTACTTCTATGGATTCTTTTCTCTCTTCTTCCCTTTGTCGCTTCTTTTGTTGATAAGAAACATGACAGAAAAGTGACAATGTTCTTTGGAGGTCTCTTCTTCTTGCTTGGTGCCCTTCTGAATGCTGTTGTTGTCCATATTAGCATGCTCATCTTCAGTCGCATCCTTCGTGGAGTTGGAGTCGGATGTGCTAATTAATCAGTACCTATTTATTTACCTGAGATTGCTCCCTACAAGTACATGTGCATTCAATGTTCTCTTACAATTGGTCATCACAGTTGGGATCTTGATTGGTAATATCGTCAAAAGTTGGGTCACCGTGTATATTTGTGGAGACTACTTTCTTATATTTAATTTTATAGCACCGTTCCGTTATTTCAGTGACTATTTTTTCATAATAAATTTGTGTAGCACTGTTTAATCATTCCAGTGACTACTTATTCATATTTAATTTTTAGTACCGTCCCATCATTCCGGTGACTATTTTTCATATTAAATTAGTGTAGCACTGTACCATCATTCCAGTGACTACTTTTTTTCATATTTAATTTTGTAGCACCGTCCAATCATTCCGGTGACTACTTTTTCATATTTAATTTTGTAGCACCGTTCATCTTTTCGGTGACTACCTTTTTTTGCATATCTAATTTGCGTAGCACCGTGCATCTCCCGGACTACTTTTCATATTGAATTTGTGTAGTACCGTGGATTTTTTTCTGAACTATTTTCTCATATCTGAGTTGCATAACATCATGTGTCTTTTCAATAACTTAGATTTGATTAACATAATTTCATTCGTCTTTTCCAATGACTCCTCAAATCTGATTTGCGTAGGGTTGTGTCATCATTCCAATCCTACCTATATAATTTCTCTTTTCATAAGGGTCGTGTCATCATTCTGACGAGAAAAATAGTTCAGACTTAACTTTATTCTATTATTACTATTATTTAGTCAATTATTTTCATAGAAAATAAAAGACAATAAAGGAGGATTTTAATATCTAAATTAATGAAAATAATTAACTAAATTAAAGTAAACAACTAACATATTTAAATCTTGGAGCTTAATCAATTAATAAAAGTAATTAGGGCTTAAGTGTTCCCCACAGGTTCCTAACTTGATAATCTTAACTATAACAATTCTTTCCTAGTATCTTGCATATAAAGTGATAAGTTATGTATGTCTAAATCCTTGGTCCGACATCTAGAAAATTTCACTCCGCACCTTGGTCCGGCTACGTGTGTTGTTATACTAACCCTTATCTTTACCTCATATTAAACACTGTATTCGATATTTGACTATATTACCTTGTACCAATCGACATTAGCCTATTAGATAGTATACACTAAATTTGTGTTGATAATTCTTTTCCTATTATCTACCTCCTTGGTCCGGCAAGTAGCATTAAAGCGAGTTCTAACGTTGGCCATCAGTTAAAAAGACTTCTAAACGAAAGAATTATCAATACATGCAAAACACTATTCTAGAATTGCTATTTTAGTTAGATTTTACCTCTTTATTCACCCATGGTTCCCATAACCCTAGTTATGGAGTTTAGTTACCCATAGTCATAATGACACTATTCATATATTTAATATAAGAATTCATGCACTTACTTTGATGCAAAAAGAATAAAATTCAAAAATTTACTTGATTAATCAACAAAAACACCAACAATTAATTCCAAAAAAGGTATAACGATTGCTGAAATTAATCCTCCACTACTTGAACAAGAGAACTAAAGATTATTCAAAAGTTTAACTCTCCAAAAGTCTAACTGTCAAAATGTCTAATATCGAAAAGTCTAACCCAAAAAATGAGATTTTTCGAACTATTTATAATAAAAACAAAAACCTAATAAAAGAAGGATTCTAATTACTGAAAATCTGTCAAAACGCGTCCGAGTCAACAGACCTCGTGACCCATACTTCACAAATTCTTCTTCTGCTTTCTTCATTACCCTCAACGGACAGGTATGACGGACCGTTCCAAGCATGACGGTCCATCGAGGGTCTTCGTTCTATAATACTTAAACTTCTTGGAATTTGGGTACTGGACTACTCTCTGATCATTGCGACGAACCAGCAGGACGGACCGTCGTGGCTATGACGGTCCGTCGTGGACTTCCATAATCCCACACTAAGTCATACTTCCCCATCTTCCTTCAGCCGCTTCATCACGATGCCACATACAGGCCGTCACAAGCTCCATAGGTGGTCTCTTCTACACTTCTTCGCTCAAAAACTTCTGCGTTCATCATTGGAAGATTTCCTGCAAATAAGGAGAAACTTACATAAAAATCAATACAAAAAAACTTTTGGGCACACACTAAACTTAAGGAATAAACATTAAAAATATCGTGAAACCACGGTATATCACCATCATTCCATTAGTTTGAACTATCTTTTATAATTTCTATTTTCTAGTTGGGTAATTTTATTTCTTAAATTGTGACCATTTTTAGCCATCAATTCTAATACTACAGCATATGAGCATGTTCCAATAATTTTTTTGGTGACTTTCTTATTTAATATTAACTCATCTATTGATGCCAACATGATCAATATACTTTATATTAGATTTAAGCACTTCGTTTCTCAGGGGAAGTTTAGTAGCCTTGTATGTCGATTGTGCAGATCACTCTATGGTCTAGAACAATTTTTCTGAAGCTTGGGTTGGGAAGTTCAACACCAAAATTATGAATCAAATTCAGTATTTCATGCGAAGATTTAGCACATTGAGATTTACTGACATTATGCATCAAATCCATCAAATCCAATATTTAATAAGAAGACAAGCACATTAAGATTGACAGTCAATTTGGTGAAGTCTGCAAATATCTCACCAAGCCCCTCATTAGTCCCCGTGTTAATTACATTTGTAACAAGCTAGGTGCATGAATTGTACGCACTAGCTTGAGGGGGAGTTTTAGAATATGAATAGGTTTATACAATCGTATTAGAATAGGAACAGTTCATACAATCCTATTAAAATAGGAACAGGTTTATATAATCCTATTAGAATAGGAATAAGACTACTAAATAATATTCTATTTGGTAAAGGA